TCCGCTCGTTCGAGCGCGACCGGCGAAGGTACGCGCGAAGGTGCGCGCCCTTCGGTCGTATGCTAATGCACACGGCGTTTCGTGACGCGATACAGTTTTCGTCGTTAACCCCGGCTAACCTCTCGTCGCCGAGCCGTCGAGTGAAAGTACACGCGGCCGGGTCTTTTCGACGGCCGCGGAACTCGCCGATCGATCCCGGCCGCCGCACCGTCGCCGTCTTCCACCACGACGACGAGACGGAAATCTTTGTGACCGATGTCGTTCGCACTCCTGAGAAGGAATACGACTCGCCATCATGCCGCCCGGCCGCGGATTCGATTATCGGTTTTACGAGCGGCTCGTCCGGTACTCTCTCTCTCTCTCTCTCTCTCTCTCTCTCTCTTTCTCGCCCCGAGTCCTCCCGGTGCGTCGAACGGGATTCACCGCGGACGTCCCGCCGCTCTCCCTCTTTGCGAGCGCGCGCGTTGTGTGGCTGGGACTTTTTGCATTTGCGAATGTCGCAAGACGACGGAATGTATACGAATTTCCCATCGGCCGTGCGAATAGCGCCTCTCTTTCGTTCTCGCGTTCTCGGCGGACGCTTCATCAGCGCCGAGCGGATAATTGATAAGACACGTACGGTGGAATCCTACAGTAGGAAAAAAAATTTAGTATCTCTAACAAAACTGTTTAGTTGAGACATTTTTTAATAGCAACCAAATATCTTGTTTCATATAATAAAATATTTTGTTGTCTCAACTAAATATATTTTTCTGCCTTGTTCTCTGGACCAAATGATTTTGTTCTTAGGCTTCATGTACAAAAATTGAGCATTTTAGTTATTTTACCCATAAGAATTACATAATAACGAAATATTATCTTATATAAACTAAAATAATGCCCAATCGGTACTATTTTGTCTTTCTGTGCTACACTAAAAGATTTTATATATTAAGAAAAAATTATAGTATTTTTAACAAAATTCATATGGTTAAAGCTTTTTGGTTGCTATAACAAAAGTATTACGTTATACGAACAAACCGTAACCAAACAAGATATTTGTTTACGACAAAATTTTGGTTCACGCAACAATACATTTTTCCTAGTGTACGATGAATGCTGAAACACCACAGCTTCACCGAGCTCGTATGCAGCTGATTGCGTCCGGATGAGACGAGATTGTACAAGTTGGTGGAGAGGGAAATCTTATTGTCGAGTAATCGCGTGAAGCCTGTATTTATAGTCGCTGTTCCAGACTCGAGTGAGATATTTAAAATTTCAGCCTTTCGCTTGAGTTACGATCGCAAATGAAACGCCGTGTATATCAAAGCAACTCTCTTGAAATATGTCTATTGTGAATCGTCGCGTCTCTCTCAAAATAGATCTCAGCTGACTCTTCGGTCGAAACGCGGCTGTAAATAACAGTTTGACTGTGAAATCTATTACGAAGAGCTTGTCTCTGCTGTAATGCAAAGACAAGCAGAGTGTTCACTCTCGCTCGTAACGTTCTCGTGACTGTGATTCTCTCTCTCTCTCTCTCTCTCTCCGTTCTCTCTAGTCGACTTCGATTATTCAGATAAAAGAGCGACACGCACATACATATTTCGGTGATAGGCTTAGAATTTCGAGGCTACACAGCGTACCTTTGATCCGCGAACGATAACGAGTGATAATTTATGCACCAATGCCGCTTCATCGCCGACACTCTCCCAAAGACATGTCTTTTTCGAAATCGAGTCCTCCACGGTCCACGTCCAACGGCCGACCGTTTCATCCTCCGACAGTGAAACGAATTCTTTCTTTCTTTCTCTTTCTCCCTCACTCTCTCTCTCTCTCTCTCTCTCTCTCTCTCTCTCTCTCTCTTTCTTTCGCATGTGATACCGTACACGAGAAAAAATACTTATTCAAATAAGAGAGCGCAAGCCATATTCAAAGGAGCCCCGGGACCCGCGCTCCTCCTCGTGTATTCGTGCATGGAACTGGCGCGAGCATAAATTTCAACAGATAGTACGCGCACGCCACTAAAAACGTAAAAGACTCTCCGGATTTTTCTACGAACGCCTGCGCGCGCGCGGCGTTACTTAGGTCTTTCATTCTCCCGCGGACAACTGAAGGACTTTGTGTCGTCCATCGTCTAAATTATTTCCCCGGTATTTCCTCGAGCAGGAGAGGGAGGGGGGAGGGGCGATAGCGAGCGAGAGAATAAAAGGGCGTTCATTTACATAATCATGAATTTTTCCTCGGCAGGGGAAGATACGTCGTTCGTAGATACTCTCTTTCCTCACCGGTGGCTAATGTCACGTCGTTCCCCCCGTTGTCACCCCTCCCTCCCGTGACCTCCCGCGATCCGATCCTGTGAATTTCGTGTTCCCCGCAAGACCGAGAAATCCGGCCTGTGGAACCTCAAAGAGACCGCCCGGCCGCGGAAATTCGTGTGTGACGAAAGTTCGCGCGCGGCGATAACGATACGTACGCGCGGGCGTATACCGGTCGGTGTAGCTCCCTCCCTCCCTCCCTCCTCCCCGCGGCACGCAGCGCCGCTGGTGCACTTAGTCACACTGATAAAATATTCCAATTGCAACGCGAGGCGGTTAAGCGCCTCGGCAAAAGTGACGCGGGAATGATATCACGCCGACAAGCCGTAAATACATAATGAAGCGCGGAAACCCCCGGTATGCTCGAATCCATGAACGCCTCCATCCGTCATCGCGTGAGCGCACACACGCGCCCGCGACTTCGAATTTATAATCCCGTATCCCTCATCTAGTGTGCTCGCGTGATTCATCATTCTTACACACGGTCGCTCGCAGCTCGGAATATAAATCCAAAAGGAGAAGGTAGCTAGAGGTAGCCGCCGAGGCAGATGCAATTAGCGTTGTGCGCGTCGCAATATTGATCGTTCAATTAGCCAATCTCTCTCTCTCCCTCTCTCTCTCTCTCTCTCGCGCGCGTGCGCGCGCGCGCGCGCGCGCTGGATCTCTCGATCCAGACGATATTCTTCTTGTTGTTGTTATCAATGAGATCGAGATCATTACTTTGTTACGGGCTTGTAACGCTGTGAGAGCTTCAGGGGGAGTCCGAGCGCCAATCTCTGGCGATTCTAAATACCTCGGAGTGATCGAGAAACATCTCGTCTGCGTTTTGCAGCAACGTGCATTGGGCAATCGGCAAAGCTTGAGGACTTGGAACTGTCGAAATTTGTTGAAGGGATTGAAAAACGCTCAACTGACGAATGTCAGGCTTCACTTTTCGCCTGATTGTTACTCACACGGACAAATTTCGCACGCCCGTGCGGGGATACGGTAGATTTGTCAAGAGGAAGAGAAAGAGAGGAATCAGCTGGATCGTCGCGTACGGCTGTAAAACGTGCATGCACGGATATACGGTCGTTGTGACGATAAAATCAAAATTCTTGCGACGTCCATTCTTCAACACAGCGGAGGGATCCCTAAAACCTAAACAAGGAGATTACTATTACTCTCTCTAAAAACCCGTTTCAGTTCTCCAGCTCATGCGTAGATGACGTTGAAAGTCCCATCCACTTTCAAGGGGTAGCTGGTCGCCGGCGAAGGTGATGGATACTGCAAATGATGTCGCAAAATTGGCGCAGATCATTCAAACAAGTCAGACGGGTCGTCCTAGAAACGTAAACATATCGATGAAAAGTTTCCTTCCTTACAACCTCCGACGTATGGAATTCCGAGTCTTTCATCTAGTTTGCAAATCCACCGTAACATTTTCATAATCTGCTTCGTGTTATTCGTGGAAAAAGGTAATTTCTATCATCGAGGCATTTAAATGTTCCGACGATGTAACCTACTTTCTTTCAACTTTGCGCTGTCACATCTCGCAATTAGGATTGTCGCAATACGTCGTCTGTCATACGCGCGCATGCCACACGCCATGCGTTTATCGCTATTGTCGGGGGAAAAAAGAGAACGAATAAAACGAGAGAAAGCAAGCAAGCAAGCAAGCAAGCAACAAAGTACAATACATCGCGAGTTATTCATCCCGCATCTGCGAACGATGCAATCGAGAACGCGGCGTCGTCGAGCGCGCAAGAAACGCACCAGCGCATACAAATAGGCGGACTCGGTCGGAAAATAGCCGAATATCGAACATATCTGTCCCGGAGTTTCCGCGACAAGAAAACCCGCTCACGTTCGATTCGCGGCAACGCGAGAACGAAACAAATTCTCTCTCGGGCCACGCGCCCGGTTTTTCGAGGAGGGGCGGAGAGGCAAAGAAGAGAGAGAGAGAGAGAGGGAGAGAGAGAGGGAGGAGAGGGAGGAGGAGGGAGGGAGGGAGAGGCACAGAGAGAGGAGGAGGGAGAGGGGGAGGGAGGGGGAGAGAGAGAGAGAGAGAGAGAGAGAGAGAGAGAGAGAGAGAGAGAGAGGCCGGGGCCGCGGGAGCGGACGGCGATCGAAGATTCAAAGCGCAGAGTAACGGCAACAAATCACGCGCGGCGAGAACGAGTGTTTATTCTGCAAAAGTTCGCCGACGGGCGCTGTGGGACACCGCGCGTCGCCTATTAGACCGACGGTCGAGGACGGTACGCGCCCGGGGGCGAAGGATCTCTCGGCGTGAAGGAAACGCGGTAGGAAAAGAACGCTCGTTCTCTCTCTCCGGTTGAAAGAGAGGGAGAGAGGAGTCACTTGATAAATGCGTGCCGGTGCGTCTAGGAACCAGTTTGGTGTTTACCTAGTAAGTAGCGTTGTCAGTCAGCTGGTTTGTTGCATCTTCGGGGTAGGCAGGCAAGCAGGCAAGCAGAGGCAGGCAGGCAGGCAGGCAGGTAGGCAGGCAGGCAGCAGGCAGGCAGGCAGGCACGCAGGCAGGTAGGCAGGCAGGCCAGGCAGGCAGGCAGGCATCAGCCGCCTGTGGCATGCAACGTTGAGCGAGAGAGAGAGAGAGAGAGAGAGAGAGAGAAAGAGAGAACACGCACAAGAGTGCGGCTGTATTGCGTGCGCGTGTGTGATATCCGTGTACGCCAGTGTGGGACAGCGCTTCGGCCACGGTGGAGGGAGCGCATCCTGCCGGTGGTGGGGCCAACGTCACGGTGGTGGAGGTCGCGCGGCAGCCAGAGTGGGGGTGGCAGCCGCCGCACGGCGCACGCTGGCAGTTACGCAGGGTGCTCCGTGCATCGTCGATAGAACGGTGGTTCCGTCGCGCAGTCAGTTGCATTCCGGCCGCCGCGGTGGGATGTCGTCTCGTCGCGTCCGGGCCGCAAGTGACACGTTGCCAGCCGCATTCGTGGTGATACCGAGTCGTCACGCTGGTGCATCCTCCTCCGCGGTGATACTACGCTCGGCGGTGTACTAGCTAGTGATATCCGCGCGCCGTGAACGGAGCGAGAACGCGAGCTCGCTAGAGCGCGCGCGCGCGCGCGCGCATCCGTCCGTTGGCCTGCTGCTGCCCGCGTCTGGTCTGGCTTTGTGCGCGCTGGTTTATCACTCCTCCGCGGGATCGCCTCATTGGATATGAACGATCGGCGCACGAGCGATCCGCGGGAACGGACGACCACGGGGTCGAGGGTCGTGGTGATCGCCGTCGCGTCAGTGCCGGTGTTGTCGGTGTGAGAGAGCCGCATCCGCCGGGATACGGCGGGAGAGAGTACGGCGCGCGGCGCGGTTCGCTTCCCTCTCTCTCTCTCTCTCTGCATCTATCTTGCAATCGCGCATTCTCTCTCCGTATCTCTTTTCTACTCTCTGTACGTGGCATGGAACGGAGTGTGCACAACAGTTGAACAACGGAGCAATGCCGTGGCTATGAGTGCGTGACGGCTCCTCGAGCGTTCTCGAGCAGCCGCGCTGCGAGAGTATCTTCCGGCCAAGGAACGCGTCTCATGGGAGAACGATGATGTCGTCGTTGGGAATAATGCAAGCGTGTCATCATCATCGTCGTCGTCGTCGTCGTCGTCCTCGTGTTGACGGTGTTGACGTACGTGCGTCATCGTCGTCGTCGTCGTCGCCGTCGTGGTGGTGGTGGTGGTGGTGGTCGTCGCCGCGTTGGCCGACCTTGGTCGTACTGTGCTCGTTCTTGTTGTCGTTGGATCGTCGCTCGTCGGTTTACGGACGCAGCATCACGAGTCTCGAGGCGCCGAACGGTTGCGAATGGCGAAAGGACGACGAGGACGGCGAGCAGGCGTTGGCCTGCAGAGTGAGGACGATCGCGAGCGTGCCCGGGCTGATCGGCAACCTCTCGACGATACAAGCGGACACGGTGACGTCGTTGGGATTGGAGTGCAGCGACGTGCTGTTCTTCGAGAGTCAGCTCTCGAACGGGCCGCACGGCTTCCTGTCGCCGTTGCCGCGGCTGGCCAAGCTGCGCGTCGATTACTGCAAGATCCCGAGCCTGCCGGGCGGCGCGTTCGCCGCCGTGCACAATCTACGCAGTCTGTCGGTGCGGACGCACAACGGCGACTGGTCGGCTATGACCCTGGAGCTGGACCGGGACGCGTTGCGCGGCCTCACGAGTCTGCGGCACCTCGACCTCGCCGACAACAATCTGCTGACGCTGCCGCCGGAGCTGCTCTGCCCGGTGCAGAGCCTCGCGAGTTTGAACCTGACGCGCAACAAGTTACAGGACATCGACTGGATCGAGTTTTGCACGGCCGGCCTGGAGACGCTCGACATGAGTAACAACGACCTCAGTAGCTTGCCCGACCGCGCGCTCAGCGGCTTGCGCGCGCTCAGCGTGCTGAAGATACAGGAGAACGCGATCGCCGCCGTCGGCGACCACGCGCTCTTCGGTCTCGCGTCCCTGCAGGTGCTCAACATGTCCAGCAACCGGCTGGTCGCACTGCCACCCGAGGTCTTCTCCAGGACGAAGGAGCTGCGGGAACTGATACTCAGCAACAACTCAATCTCGGTGCTGGCGCCCGGGCTGCTGGACAGCCTGGAGGAGCTCCAGCTGTTGGACATGAGCGGTAACGAGCTGACGAGCCATTGGGTGAGCCGCGACACGTTCGCGCGGCTGGTCCGCCTCGTCGTCCTCGACCTGTCGTTCAACGCGCTCGCGAGGATCGACGCGCACGTCTTCAAGGGCCTGTACAGCCTGCAGATCCTCAAGCTCGAGCACAACGATATCGAAACGCTCGCCGACGGCTGCTTCGCCTCACTCGCGAGCCTGCACACCCTCACGCTGTCGAGCAACAAGATCGCGAGATTCGACGCGGCGCACACGACCGGCCTCGGTCAGCTCGGGCAGCTCTTCTTGGACAGCAACAGGCTGCGCGCCGTGCCCAAGCGTGTGTTCGCCAATCTCACCGAGCTGCAGGACCTGGCGCTCAGCGGAAACTCGTTGACGGAGGTGCCGAGCGCGGTGCGCCTGCTGCACTCGCTCAAGACCCTCGACCTGGGCAACAATCACGTGACGAGGGTCGACAACGAGTCGTTCGCCGGGCTCAACGAGCTCTACGGCCTGCGCCTGGTCGACAACAAATTGGAGAACGTGTCGCGCGAGGCGTTCGCCTCGTTGCCGGCGTTGCAGGTGTTGAACCTGGCGAACAATCTCATCCGTCACGTGGAGCAGAGCGCGTTCGCGAGCAATCCGGTGTTGCGGGCCATCCGCTTGGACGGCAATCAGCTGACGGAGATCCGCGGCGCCTTCACCAGCCTGTCGACTCTCGTCTGGCTCAACGTGTCCGACAACAAGCTGCTGTGGTTCGACTACAGCCATCTGCCGACGAGCATCGAGTGGCTCGACATACACGCCAATCAGATCGGCGAGCTCGGCAATTATTACAACGTGCGCGGTAACCTGCGGATCAAGATGCTGGACGCCAGTTACAACCTCATCACCGAGATCACGGACGTCAATGTGCCGGACAGCGTGGAGACGCTCTACCTCAACGACAACAAGATACGCGCCGTCGCGGCCGGCACGTTCCAGCAGAAGGCCAGCTTGGACAAGGTGGTGCTCTACGGCAACGAGATCCGCAATCTGGAAGTGGCCGCGCTCGGTCTGCAGACCGTGCCGGACAATCGGGAGCTACCGACCTTCTACATCGGCGACAATCCCATCCTCTGCGACTGCACCATGGAGTGGCTGCCGAAGATCAACGAGCGCGCCCGCCAGCGCCAGCACCCGCGCGTCATGGACCTGGACGCCGTAATGTGCGACATGGTGCACGTCCGCGCGACGCCGCGGCGCAAGCTGCTGTCGCTCAAGTCGAAGGACTTTCTCTGCCGGTACGACGCGCACTGCTTCGCCCTCTGTCACTGTTGCGACTTCGACGCGTGCGACTGCGAGATGACCTGCCCGGACAATTGCTCGTGCTACCACGACCACAGCTGGTCCAGCAACGTCGTCGACTGCTCAAACGCCGGCTACAAGCGCGTGCCCGAGCAGATACCGATGGACGCCACGGAGATCTACCTGGACGGCAACGAGCTCGGCGACCTCGGCAGCCACGTGTTCATCGGCAAGCGCCGGCTGGAGGTGCTCTACCTGAACAACAGCGGCATCGCCGCGATCCACAATCGCACGTTCAACGACGTCGAGGCGCTGCGCGTCCTCCATCTGGAGGACAACGCGCTGCGCGAGCTCCGCGGCTTCGAGTTCGAGGAGCTGGAGCTCATGTCCGAGCTGTACCTCGACCACAACGCCATCGTCACCGTCGGCAACACGACCTTCAAGAAGATGCGGAACCTCGAGGTGCTGCGGCTCGATAGCAACCGCATCGTCGACTTCCGACCGTGGGAGGCCCTGCCGAGCGGCCTCGGCGGCAGCGCCAAGGTCGCGCTCGAGGGTAACGCCTGGAGCTGCGAATGCGGCAACGCGGTCCGGCTGCGCGCCTGGCTGGCCGAGCACCGCGGCGACCCGGACAAGATGTACTGCCGCGACGGCGTCGAGACGCTCGCCCAGGCGATGGAGCGCTGCGGCGACCCGTCCACGGAAGCCGTCAGCCGCGGCATCCAGGAGATCCCGCTGTTGGGCGGCAATTTCGTGCCGCTCCTCGCCGGCGCGCTCGTCGCCGTAATCGCCGTCTGCCTGTTCGTCGCCCTGGCCTTCGCCTTCCGCCAGGACGTGCGACTGTGGGCCCACGCGCGCTACGGCCTGCGACTCGGCAAGATGGCCGCGCCGCCCGACGAGGAACGGGACCGGCTCTACGACGGCTACATCGTTTACAGCGAGCGCGACGAGGACTTTGTCTCGCGGTTCCTCGCGGCCGAGTTGGAACAGGCCGGCCTAGCCCTCTGCCTGCATTGGCGGGACTTACCGCCGGCGAGGCCGCAGGAGGCGCTGCCGCCGGCCGCCGCGGCCGCCCGGCGCATCGTCATCATCTTCTCGCCGGTGTTTCTGGCGAACGAGTGGCAGCACGCCGAGTTCCGCGCCGCTCTGAGGACCGCGCTCGAGAACATCAGGCCTACCTCGCGGAAACGCCGCGTCGTCGTGCTCCTGGCCACCGAGGCGCCGGCGCGCGACCCCGAGATGCAGCTTTTGCTGCAGACGTGCACGGTGGTGGTCTGGGGCGAGAAGAGGTTCTGGGAGAAGCTGCGCTTCGCGATGCCGGACTCGGTGGACAAACGACGCGATAGCAGTAACAACGCCGGCGGCGGCGGCGGCGGCGGCGGCGGCGGCGGCGCCGGCGCCGGCGGTAGCGGCAGCGGCAAGAAGGTCAACGACCGTAATCGCACCAGCACGCGCTACACCGCGGCGCCCTCCGCCGTCGTGGACGTCTGGACCAAGCCGAACGGGGTTTTGGTCGCACCGGTGCACGCGCCCACGCCCACGCCCACGCAGTCCACCTACGTGAGCTCGGCGTCCAGCAGGACCGAGGACGAGGACAGCGGCGCCGAGCACCAGCACCACCAGCACCAGCATCAACACCATCCGCACCCGCACCAGCACGGCTACAGCGCGCTGCACACCACCGCCGCCAACGGCCGTCCGGCCAGCCTGTCGTCCAGGGGCAGTCACCTCTACAGCACCATACCGGAGCCGCCGGTGCCGACGGCGCCGCAGTTGTCCGGCGAGACTCTCGCGCATCCCGGCAACCCGCGTACTTACTTCGTCTAGCACAGAAGGGCGGCGATCGTACTGCGATCCGCCAAGAGATAGACCAGAGACTCCAACTGCCTCCAACCATGCCTCGAGCCCTCTTGCGGCCGCGTTCACGGCCGGCGTGATCGCCCGCGATTCGTCGTCGTCGTCGTCGTCGTCGTCGTCGTCGTCGTCGTCGTCGTCGTCGTCGTCGTCGCGGCTACCGCCTGTACAGTTCTCCCCCAGCTCCGCGCGACGCATCGACCAACCAACCTACCCTGGCAGACTGAAACGCGCTTTTAGCTCTTCCACAAGGGAAAGCCCCGCTCGCCCCCTCCCCCCGTCCCTGCGTTCCCGCGACTGACTCTCCCCGTTCGGGCTGTTTGACGCGTTGTTCCCTTCGCGATTATCGGGAACTAACCGACGAAGAACGCGACACGCACACTTGCGCGCGCGCGCGCGTATTCTTAGTATCGCGTTGTACGCGCGGAGTCGATTCGCGATGCCTTGGCGCTTGTTATCGGTATTGATACACACACGTACACACACACATACATACATACACACACAAACGTTGAGTCCTTCAACTCGGGCGGACTTTGGTTCTTCCTTTTTTCTTTTCATCTTTCCTTCCTTTCTGCCTTCCTTGCTCAAGTGTAATTTCAAGAATCGTGACTCCTCTCGTTCTTCTTTCCTCTCTGCGTTCGATACATACATTCTCTCTTCTCGTCGACTTGTCGCCACAGAGCGTCACGTTCTTCCAAACCACCAACGACCAAATACATACGTAATCACTCGTCGGTTTCAAACACCGAAAGCGCGAAACGCGAGTGTCGGCGGCCCTTTTCTCTCTTTTCCCTCCCTCTCTCTCTCTCTCTCTCTCTCTCTCTCTCTCTCTCTCTCTCTCTCTCTCTCTCTCTCTGTCTCTCTCTCTCTCTCTCTCTCTCTCTCTCTCTCTGTCTGTCTCTCTCTCTCTCTCTCTCTCTCTGTCGACCGCGTTTGAATCACGCGACATCTCCTCGAATCCGCTGCTGATTCCGTCGTCGAATTCGTGCGCGCAGTTCGACTCGCTCGCAATGCGCGATATGGTCGCATTGAGACGATTGAGAATCGACGTCGATTCGCTCGTGCGACATGTATTCCCGCTTTCGCGCGAAATCCCCGCAAGTCTCCTCGCCGGCGGCCGTCGCGATCGCGACGGAAAGCCGCTTTTCGGCGCTTCGCCGTCCTCGCCGCGCCCGTCGTCGGGCGACTTCCTTTTAATTGCCAGTCGCTCGCCGCCGCTTCGATTTGCATTAATTGGCGCAACTGTCGGCGCACTCAATCATCAATATGATTATTTGCGGTTTGAATGTACGATATTACGAACGGTGAATAACAACGGTAATACCTAAATATGCACTGCCGGCGAGCGCGCAACGCGATCCTTTTACGAATGCTAATTAGATGACTCGCCGCCAATTTGCGTTTCCCGATGCCTCTCTTCCTCGCGCAGAGGCAAAAGCCGGGACAAGAGCGCGCGACGAAAGCGTAGCAAGTACGCGAAAGTACGACAAGTGTTCTTTATAGGTAATTTATTTTCTAGAGACGCGCCTAGAGACCGACGATGCATTTATCTTCTATTTAGTCTGTATTGCGTATTTAACGACTTAATTGCGAATATATTCGTACACATATACATATATACATATAAATATAAATATATATATATATACATATATATATATATACATGTATATATATATACATACATGTATGTCTCTTTCGATGCGACTCGTGCGATCGCACGAGCGAGAGCAACGGTGATATTTACACACGCCTGTGTACGAGTATTAACATCGCGAGTCGCTTTCCCGCGCTCGTCCAGTTCGTCTCTCGGAATAAGCGTCGACATATTAAGGAGGACGCGAAAGGACAACTAGAGTAAAGTGAAATAAATTATTTTCATAGCACAGAGGCGAACGCGCGCTCGTGATCATTTCCGATCTGGCTCCGAGGGCCAACAAACGAGAGAGTTATCGGTACGAGTAATACCTTTTCTTTTGTGTGTGTTACGCTAAATCTCACGATAAAGTTCCTCTCTCTCTCTCTCTCTCTCTCTCTCTCTCTCTCGCGCGCGCACCGACACACTTTTGGGACCCGAAGCGCATCCCTCTCCCGTCCCCCGCGCTCCCATCCCCGCCTCCCCCCCAGCCCCCGTCCAGCCCCTTTGTCATTCCTGTCGTTTGCTCGTCGATGATTCAACCACGACGGCCAACGGACAAGTATCGTCTACGTTATAGCGTGTTAAAAATGACATGGAAGACTAAAGACAGACGTCTCGTGAGAGCTTGTTCCTAAGAAAAAAAAAGAAGAAAAAGATGAATAAAAGATTGACACGACTGTCTTGATGAGAAGTTACGGTCGCATAACGCTTATTAGTACGTAAGTGAACTCTCCTGTAAATATTGTATCTAATTTTTGTAAATACTCGTGGGCGCGCGCACACACATACACACACACACACACACACACACACACACACATCTTTCCGGATGGAAAGCCTCGACGACCAGCGGGCGCGCGCACGCAGCGTGGACGTGACCATCGCGCTGGTCGCGCGGCCTACGTCTTAATTGTACTTGCGTTTAGGAGCGCAAACGACTCCGATCGTATTGTATTATTACTGTAAATACCGCTCGTCGCGAATCACGCATTGTATTCACAGTCTGTTAAATACGTATTAAATTAATTGCCACTTTCCATTTCAGCAAGGAACCATGAAAATAAACACGTTTGTTTTATAAAAAAAAGGAAAGAAAGAAATGAGAGTGCAACAGATGAAAAGAGAGCAAGTGTCTTTCGCGCCCGTCCCGTCAACTCCGCAGTCTCTCTCACACCCGATCCAATCCTTGCGTTTTCTCGAATTTACGTACGAATTATCGGACGTAACGTCGCTCGACCGCCAACGCTCGTCGCGATGAATAGTACCGATCGAGAGATCGATATATTCGCTCTCCCTCTTTTTTTTTTTTTTTAATATCACGATGATATATCGAGAGACCAGAGAGAGAGAGAGAGAGAGCGAGAGGGAAGAGAAAGATTCTCGAGCGTCGATGCGAGAGTGTGTAATGTACGTCGCATTTGTACGATTAAACGCTCGATATCGCTGATAATGGACTCTCGCAGGATGTATCGCCGTATCAGCATCGGCGGTGTATGTGTAGACGCGTGCAAGACGCCAAGTGGACTCGAGATTCAATTATAACAGGTCGACGATATTGGGCGAACAGCACACACGCACACGTATTCTCGGAGAATGCTATATTTGTCCGAAGGATTCGCGCTTTGGTCGGCGCGATTAGAGTGCGCGATTACAGCCGCCGGATTTGATCTCGCTCTTGATTTCTCGCGGAAAGGAGAGAAAGAGGAGGAGGAAACCCCGGTGAGACATCGCAGCGTCTTTCCGATTACCTCGCGGATTCGCGACCGTGCGAGTCGGGCTGAACGACGACGACGGTAATTCGAGAGGATGGGAGGCGCAAATGAAAGGAAAATAAGGGAGACAGACGAATACGAGAAGGTGGGGAATAATTTATCGTGTAATTCTTATCCCGCGGAACACTGGAATGAAGCTGTTGGCGGCGACGTGGCGGTGCATACGAGCGAATAAAACGCGAAGAGTTGGACGTCGCGCGCGCGCGCGCTTTGGGTCGTAAGACCGACGGAAGTAAGAGGGAAGCGTCGCGTAAATAATCCATCGTCAACGAAACCATCTCGGATCGCCAGAGCAAGCAGCGCGCTGCTGAAAAAACAGCGCGCCAAATGCCGCCGTCAATTCGACGAAAGGTACATCGACCGGTGAACTTGGCGACAAGTTTGACAGATCGCCCTCGTCGAGTCACTCGACGAGCCGAATATCGTGACAATCATCCGCTTCTCACTTTTCACGCGTGACTTTATAATACAAGTCTGAGACGGAGAGTGAGGGAGAGGAGGAGAGGAGACCATCCTTGAATAGAGACATGCGCCGCCGCGAGCATCTCCGCTCTCGCCGCTTTATCACGCCGGTCCACTGAACGTTCTTGGCATCTTTTCTACGGGATATTCGTGATAACGACTCGGCAACGCCCGTCCCTCGAGAGCGAGAAAAGAGAGGGAGAGAAAGAGAGTGTCACGGTCCGCCGTCGCGCCGCCGCGCCCGTCCGCGCCGTTACCGGCGGTATATCCGGCGACGAAAAATATTAACACCGTCCCCGGGCATTATCGCTTCCGGGCTCTGCGCCGGGGAGAAAAAGCTGTTCGAGATTTCCTCCGGTCTCTCTCGGCCTCGCATTACCGCGCCAGGTCACGCGCGCGAGCGAGATTCGGTGACATAAGTTAGAGCCCGCTCCTCCGTCGGGAGCGCTGCGAATTGCCTCTTTAAAGGGAGAAAAAGAAGGGCCGAGAGGGGAAAAAGGAGCGAAAACGGACGGGGAGAGAAAGAAGAAGGATCGCGGCGAATCGCGCGAGAGCACCGGCGCGGCGCAACCTCACGTAGCGCGTAATAGCGTTATCGCAGATAACGCACGGCGCGGCCTCGTCGGGAAATATCGCACGCCGAGCGTACGTAGCGGACGAGTGCTGCGAGTGCTGCGAGCAACGCTACATCACGCACGCATACTGCTCGAACGTTTGAATGCCCGCCGGGGCCACGAATGCCAGAAAAGAGCGGCGCGCCGCGCCGCGCCGCGCGACTAATGACATTACGACTTTAGGACGCTCTCGGGCAAATTACATTCGCCGGAACAGCCAGCCAGCCAGCCAGCCAGAGCTAGTTTGCGCGCCGACGAATGATATAATAATACGACTCGTTGATATCGAATGAAATTGCGGAGCGCGCGCGTAGACGCGTTTAATAATTAAAGTAGCGGTGCGTGCGCGCGCGCTAAGTGGATCGATAATTTAGTGCTCTACGCGGAGCGCGCTCCGTCGCCCTTCGCGTCCAACGCTACACCGTTTTTTCTCGCTTTTCGACGACTCGCGGTGTCGTTTTAAGGGAATTAGAGCACGCGCACGCCTTTGTCGCGACTCCCGTCCCGGCCCGGCCGGGGCCTACTGACGTTTGCAGGACGATAGAGAGAGAGAGAGAGAGAGAGAGAGAGAGGATATTTGCGAGACGTTTTAACGCGCAGCGTTCCGCAATTACGCCCAAGTTTCCGGCCGAAATATTTTAGCGGGCCGTCTCGCCGAGAG